CACATTATATTCCTGTAAACATTATATTCCTAACACACATCATATTCTTATAAGCACATTATATTCCTATAAACACACATCATATTCCTATAAACACCATATTCCTATAACATCATATTCCTACAAACACATTATATTCCTGTAAACACATATTATATTCCTATAAAAATAATATTCCTATAAACACATTATATTCCTATAAACACACATTATGTTCCTGTAAATATCTTATTCCTGTAAAAACACATCATATTCTTGTTTTTAAAGAGCAGGAATAACTGGGATGATGGAATATTTTCCAGCCTGGCCAGATGCTGGAATATCCACCCTGGGGAGTGGCTTGGAAGGAGGATTAGAGTGACAATGATCCCTGGAAAAGCTGCAGGTGGAAAAGGTTTAATTTGTTTTCAGTGTCACTGAGGAGCAAGAAAATAAGAAGTTCCTGAGCAAACCTGAGGGTTTTCCTTCCTTGTTGGTGTGGAAAAGGTTTAATTTGTTCTCAGGGTGATTAAGAAACAAGAAATAAGAAGTTCCTGAGCAAACTTAAGGGTTTTCCTTCCTTGCTTTTGTGGAAAAGGTTTAATTTTTTTTTGAGTGTCATTAAGAAATAAGTTTCTGAGCAACCCTGAGGGTTTTCTTTTGGTGTTGTTGGTTGTCCCTTCAGCTCTGCAAAGCCAGGGCAGGTTTCCCTCAGGGAGCCAGAGGTCTCAGGGACTCATTTCAAATATCCTGCTCATCATTCTGGTATATTTTTTTTGCCTAACCTTGCCTCTTCAGTAAAAAAAAATACTAAATTACTAATACTAATACTAAAATACTAAAAAATCCTAAATTACTGTTGCTGGCTCTTCATTCTGCAGGTGGTGCTGTTGGAAGCCAGACATGACCCACCATTCCAATAGATATTCAGTACAAATAGGGTTTAAATAGCCTAAAATAATACTTATTTAGGTAGTTTCCACATGAAAATCCAGTGGAATTAAGGCTCTGCTTTGTTGTTGCTGAGTTGATGAGCCTGTTTGAGGCCAGGAAAGGCTGGGGAGTGTTTCAAGTGCTTGAAACTTTGGGTCTTGGCTTTAAACTTGATGCACAAATTGAGTGTTCCAGTTTTTGGGCTGGCTCAGGGACCCTTCCCGGGCAGTGGGGATCATCTGGCCTGGCCAAGGTGTTGCTGTGTTAATTAAAGAGCCTGATTTTTGTTGGTTTTGCTGTTTTTTGCTGGTTTTGCTGCAGAGCCCTCATTCTGGGGCAGGGAACTTGCACAAGGAGCTGTCACAGCTTTCGAACATCTAATGGAAAATGCATTTCCCAGCCTGGGGACCTTGGGAGCAGCAGCTTCCATCTGGTGGCTCCTGCAGCTGGCAGGGGGAACCTTTGAAGTTAAGCAGCTGTGAGAGCTGCAAGGATTTGGGGTGAGGTAGAGTGGGCTTGGCTTTATTTTGGTTTTTAATCGAGGGAGTGATGCCACTGCCACAACAACAACGTGTCCTTGCCCCCCTGAGGGACTTGGGACTGATGCAGGTGTAATAATGGTCTGGTTTAGGGACAAAAGGATCTTTAAGGCCTTTCCCACCCAAACCCTCCTGGGATTCTTTGATAAGGGCAGAGCCAGTATTGCCTCACGTGAACTAAACTTACACCCCCTCTCCCTCCTCCTCCAGCACCTTTTTTTCTCTTCCCTCCTGTATTTTCCCCTAATTTTCCCATAGTGGTCAAATATAAAATAAAAGGCACGTTACTCACCATGGCTTCCTTCAGATCCCTGATCCTGGAATGCTGGGATGATCCAGGGCACTCAGAGTGCTGCACCTCCCCTAATTCCTCCATTTCCTTTGCCATCTGGATTGGGAAGTGACACAGCCTTCAGGAGAGGAGATTTTGCTGCCAAAGCAACTCTTCCCCAGTTACAGATGAAGATGAAACTGTTCCACTGCACCACTAAAATTCACCTTTTTTCCACGGGCTACAGCAGCTGAAAACCAGGATGCTGGAAGTGCTGCTGGGAGGGACTGGACATGAAGTGTTGGGAAGGATGGGAAAACCACTGGTGGACAGAACCTTCCACAGGTGCTTTGTTATTTAATTCCTGACCATCCACCACGGGGCAGTTGCCAAAATTTTAAGGGAGGTGGGTGAATGTCCCCATAAAACAAGCCCATGAGAATATTGGCTGGAAATTAGGGAGAGAGGATGAAACCAGGTTTAACCTGGAGCTCAAGCCTCCATGTCTACCTTGGAGGTGGCTCCCAGGGGCTTTGGTGGCTGTTCTTTGTGCCAGGCTGTTAAATACCAATTATTTTCCAATTACTGCTTAAAAACCCGAGTGTGTTTATACACAAATGGATGTTTAGGGCAAGGAGACAGGTTTTAGGGGATGGAGACAAGAAGGATACAGGTCTCCAGGGTAGCATCTCTTTCTGACTGCGTGTTTTACAGGTCAGGGTTGTTCTCCAGCCCAGAACCCACCTCTTGGAATGAGTCCTCAGAGCTCCTCTTCCCTCCTGGCTGCAGCCCAAAGGACCAGTGCTGAGCCAAGCAAAGCCCCACAGACAGCACCAACAGCAGGACACTGGTAAAGACCTTCTTGGACTTCTCCATCCTGGGAGAGGGAAAAAAAAAAGCAAATTTCTCATCATCAAGGCATTCCAGCTCCGTTTTTACCTTGGAGAATGATGAAAATGCTGCATTTCTGGATCACAAGCTGGTGGAATATCCTGATGAGATGGAAGGGACCCACAAGGATCATCAAGTCCACCCCAAGAATCCCCCCCCCCCCGTGCCTGTGCTCTGCAGTTGTGATCTGCACCTCGTGCCTGTGAGCCACAGCTGCCTTGGGAGCCTCTCAAAGTGGGGATTAACTCCCTATAAAAGGGCTTTGACATCTGAAGGATTTGGATGGAGATCTGAATTAGGATTCTGGAGCAGCCTCGCAGAGTTTGAGGCATGTCTGGACCTCCCAGGTCCCGTGCAGGTCCCTGTGGGGTTTTGGCAGATGTGTTCAGTTCCTGCTCTGATGTCCCTGCTCCTTCAGAACTGCTTTTGCAGTCTCTTCTAATCCGAGTTTCTTCTCCTGTGAGCTTCTGTGAGCACTGAATAAGTAAAAAGGGAAGATGGGATGTTGTTCAAGCTCGTTACCTGCTGCCTGAGAGGGGTTGTAGAGGAACTCCAGCTCTTCTCAGATGGAAAATGTCCTGTGACTGTGGCTGTCACCTCACTTTTATACACCAACCTCCTCCCAGCAGGTGACTTCATCTAATTCTGCCTCCCAGGCTGCAATTTTGGTGTTAAAATGACTGTGATGCAGCCCAAGTAAAGCCCATAATTGGAGCACCCCCGTGTAGCTGTTAAATTCAGCTGTTTTCTCTAAGAGCCATAAAAGTAACAGGATTTTAAGAGCTTGTAAATCTGATATTCAGCCCCAGCTGACTGCTGGGAAATACAGGAGTTCTCCTGTCAGTGGCTTCTGATTCCTGAGGAAAAGTTCTTGGGTGAGTTTGTGTTTGGTGAGGACTTGAGGTGGGTGAGGAATTTGGTCTTTAAGAACTACAGGATGGTTTGGGTTGGAGGGGATGTTAAAACTCATCCAGTGCCACCCCCCTGCCACGGGCAGGGACATTTTCCACCAACCCAGGTTGCTCCAACCTGGCCTTGGACACTTCCAGGGATGGGGAGTCCAAAACCTGAGACACATCTGAAGGGAACAGCCCTGAACAGGAGCCTGGGATGGCCCAAGTGGACAGAGCAGTTGGAGAACTCCTTGGAAATCCTCCTCCTCAATGTTCCAGTTGAGGTGCCTTGATGTTCTTTGCTCTGTAAAATGCAAATTGGTGTCAAAGTGATCGAGTAGAGGAATCTGTTGGATTGTAAATGTGCTTTGCTGGCACAAAGGAGGCTCTGTTGGGAACAGGACTCCCAAGTGCTTCTTACAAGGGATGGAGGGACAGGACACAGGGAATGGCTTCAAACTGCCAGAGGGAAGGGTTAGATGGGATATTGGGAAGGAATCCTTCTCTGGGAGGGTGGGGAGTGGCTGGGCTGGAATTCCCAGAGAAGCTGTGGCTGCCCCTGGATCCCTGGAAGTGTCCAAGGCCAGGCTGGAGCAACCTGGGCTAGTGGGAGGTGTCCCTGCCCATGGCAGGGGTGGAACTGGGTGGTCTTTAAGGCCCTTCCAACCCAAACCATTCCATGTTCTCCATTCCTCAGAGTTTGTGCAGGTTTCTGAAGCAGCCAAGAGCTCTTTGCGTGCAGGAGTTAAAGCCAGGAATTCTGGCTGCAGGAATGGTATTGTTTGGGTTTTTTTTTTGTTTTATTTTTTATTTTATTTTTTACCCACCTGGCAGCCCTTCTGCCTTGCTCTGAACTGTTCTGGTGCCATTTGAACATCTCATGTTCCCTGTTCTCCAAACATCCTCCCCTGTTCCGGCTCCCGTGACCTCCCGGAGCTTTTTAAAGGGATTAAAAGTAATTCAATGAGTAAATAATTGAAGGATTTAGTGACTCTTAGCAAAGAGTCATTCTTCCTGCTCTAATGCTCCTCCTACTCATGGCCAGAGCAGCCAACATTGAACTCCAGCTGATAAATGGATCAAGCTGTGAAAATAGTTGGGTTCAAGTGGGAGAAATTGTTCCTCTGCCGTGGGCATGGGGAGGTTTTCCTGGGAGGGTTTGGAGGCTCCTTCCTTCCCTGATGAGCCTCACAAAAATTAAGGTTATTTAGAGGTAAATAGGAGATTTTGGTGATCCTGAGGGATGGCATTTAAAGAGAGAAGGGGCCCCTGCTTGATAACCCCCCTGTTTAAGCCGAGGCTGCCCTGAACAGCAGCTGCTGTTTCTGTCCCAGCTACAAGAGTTGGATGATCCTTATGGGTCTCTTTAACTCAGGATATTCCACAATTCCATGATTCTCCAGCTCCCAAAGCATGGACTGCAGGGCTCAGTGAGCTGCTCCCATCCCCTGGCTCCTCCTGAACTCCAGGGCACAGTCCTGAGTTACTTAAAGGACGTCAAAAAGAAGATTCCAGGTGGGTTTTGTTCTCCCACAGAACCTTTTCCAGACCCGGGCAGTGGAATCCACCAAACTGCTCAGATTTGGGGTGATGGAGAAGTTTCAGAAGAGCTGCCAGAGCTCCAAGTGCAGCAGTTTCTCTGCTTTGGGGAGGGAAATCTTCCTGCCAATCCTGTTTGGTACCTACATGGAAGTCAAGGACTTGTCCAGGGCCTAAAGGGGCTCCAGGAGAGCTGGAGAGGGATTTGGGATGGAGGGACAATGGGTAATGACTTCTGCCTCCAACTGTTTTATCAAGCAAATATGAAGGGTGGGGATAAAAAAGCTGAAAAGTATTAGAAATTAATTAATGACAAATCAACACAAAACCTCCTGAAAATTCCCTAAATTAAGGTATCAGAACCACTGCAGCAACCCCTACAAGGTACATTTGTTTTTTTTCCAGCAGGTAAAGTTTATGCTTAAACCCCAAAAATTCTGCTGTCAGGTAAGATTGGGGTTGTTTATTAAAATGAAGACAACCAAGACACTTTTCTCTTTCACACTTTTATTAATGCAACTTAAATTAGGCTGGAATTTCTGCACAGGCCACTTTGGGCTCCTCATCCAGCTCTGTCTTAGCAAAAGAGGTACCTTAAATTCAGCTGTGAATGATGATGCCACGTGCTGTGATTATTCAACAGTGCTCCAGTGACAGTTCAAATAGATTTTTATACACAGTGATTATGAAAATAGAGTATTTTTCCCCCCCATACAATATTTTACTTCTGCCAGCTACAAAATATGATAAAGAAAAATAATTCATTTATTTCTCTAGCCCTAGGAATCTTCTTTTACTGCAACACACACATCACCCCCCACTGAAAGCCTTGAGGTGGGAGAAAGGACTCCAAAATCACACTGAAATATTTCCCTTCAATCTATAGGTCACTTCACCAAGGATATGGTGGTGTCCTAGAGCCTGATCCAGAGGGATCTGGAGGGAATAATCCCAATTCTGAACCACATGAGCCCGGGATTTTGAGTCCTGGATGTTCATGTCACACGCCTGAGTCGAGCCAACTTGAAAATAAAGGGAGAATCCTGCAATTCCCCCCCTCCCAAACCAATCATATCCTGATCCAGAATAATCACTGATCTTCCCAGATTGGTGGCAAAGCAGCATTTTTTGGAACAAACAAACTGAGACAACAAGCCTTGAGGACAGGAAATTGCACTGCAAAGTGAGACACAACCCACTGAGGAACTGTGGAACTCAAACCACTGCCACACCCTCCAAAGTTTTGGGATCCACTGGTTCTTCCTCCTCCTGTGTATTTGGACTGTAACAGCTGTATTTCCTTAGGATTCAAGGTGAGTTTGAACTTTGGGGTGGTTTAAGCATCTGAGGTAAGTTCTTGCTGCACCTTTTTCTATTTTTTTTTTGGTATAGTTTCTTCGTGTGCTTTTTGATTGTGTCTAAAAAGAAATGTTAGTTGAGAACTACCCAGATCCTGCAGCTCCTTTGCTGAGGGGCAGCCCCCCAGGAAGGGAGGCTCACACACAAAAAAAAACAGCTTTCCCTGCTTTTTTCCACAGGTAAAGGATGTGTGGAAGGGGCACTTGGCCCCAGGCAAGATGCTTTTACAGCCACTTTAAGCAGCCCAAAGTGGATCTGGCTGGGAAAAGGGATTATGCCCATGCTTTCAAGGAGGATTTGCATAGTACATTGAGGGGAAACAGGGCCATTTATTCATCTCCTGAAGGGATGAGAGGAGGGGGGAGCAGATGCTGTGGCCCCAGAGCTTCTCTCTGCTTTGGGGACAGTTCTGTGTTTGCCTCTGTACATTGAATTCCCAACAAAAGCTACAGGAACTCCAGTCTGGAGTGGCCAGGATATGTGGAAGCAGGGGAGTTTTTCTTCCCAGCTGGGATTGATAGTGCAATTCCACACTCATTTGGAGAGGATTAACTAAAACATCCCACTTCTGCCCAGGGATGTTCCAGGGGTAACTCAATCCGGGCTGTGGGCAGGTCCCTGCAGGGGCAGCAGCTTCCTCTGCACATTTGAGGTGATAAAGCTGCTCTAAACCTGCACTCCAACTACTCCACAGCAATTTAGGACCTCTGAGGACAGTCCCCCACTGTTTCCACCCCAGCAGAGACCTGAACACATCCTGTGGGCACTGTGTGACCACCCCTGGCATTGACACCCTGCAGGAATGAAGACACTGACTGTAAATACACTTGTCTACCTGTAAACCTGAACTTTGTTTGCTACTATACAGCAATAACATTTTCTATTCATATTGCAGCTACAGATTTAATAAATAGAATTGCATATATTGTGCTTTATAAATTAAAATGCATTCCAAAGTGAGGCAATGCTAAACAATGAAAGTCTTGAACCCTCCCCCTCAAACCAGCCCCACTTTCTGGTTTCAGAACCAGCCCCACTTCCTCACTCTCTTCACAAAGGGAGAAACTCTCTGTTTCCACCTCTGAAACAAAAATTCCCTCCCCAGAAGTGATCAGAAAGAGTCTACTTAGGCACTACTGCAAATGGAAGTTGTCTAATAACCATTACTTCTAACTCAGGAAGGGGAGGAGGTGAAGAAAGTCACGACAAATGTTTGGATTCCTTCCTCTTCAACGTCTTCTCTTCCCTATCTGACGCTCTGGGACATGTGCAGGGGGGTCAGCATCTCTTCAAAGATGGCTCCTTTCACGTTAGAGCCCCTCAAATTGGCTTCCTGGAGGTCACAACCTGATAGGTCACAATTCTGAGGGGGAAAAGAAGAAGAAGTGTCAATGGAATGGACCCAGAACTCTGTTCAAAGCTTTACTTGAAGTCCATTTACCTGAACTCCATTGTAGTCTGAAGCTGGAGAGGTCAGCCAAAAGCCAGCGATCCCCCAAATTATCAGCTGACTGTAGGATATAAAGGACTAGGATGTAAAATGAATCTTAACTCACTTCCAAATCAGTTCCTGCCAACGTTGCTCCCCTGAGGTTACAGTTCTTTAGTTTGGCGTTTTTCAGCGTCGCGACTCGGAGGTTAATTCCTGTCATCTGACTGCCCTCCATGTCCACTCCTTTCAGGTTGGCACCTGGAACACACACAGAAGGGGGTTCTGGGAGGAGAAACGGGCAGAGACACAGCAGCTCCACACTGGTGCTGCCTCAGAGCTGTGTGAATTGG